AGAGAGAGAGAGAGAGAGAGAGAGAGAGAGAGAGAGAGAGAGAGAGAGAGAGAGAGGTTCACACATACACACACATCTGCGTTTCCCCTGCCTCCCCCCTGTCGGTAGGACCCTTCGACGAGAAATGGTACTTTTTATATATATATCCCGCTACAAGACTGACGTCTTTTCATTGGTCAGCCGGTTTGCGCGGTCGATGCAAACAACAAAAACACACACATGCACACACGCTAGAAAGGTTTGTATCCTGCGTCAAGACTGAACGACGTATTTGCACTTTCATTGGTCAGCCGGTTGGCGCGGCCGATGTAAGTAGGAAACACAGAGAGAGAGGAGGGGGGGGGATACCCTTAGCTCTCTCGTGGAAATCGCATCGGATGAAGCGCCGCATGTCGTCCAAGATTTCACAGTTCGTGAGCCAAGCAAGAAGCGGCTTGGTACGAACCAAAAGCATCGCTGCGGTACATCTATCTCCGCGCATTGCAGGACAGGATGTGCAGGGTCTGCTACGGGTGCAACAGCCCCTTCACGATGTTCAGGCGCCGTCACCACTGCCGAGTGTGCGGACAGATCTTCTGCCACACGTGCAGCTCTAACCACGTGGACGCTCGGGCACTCGGCATTAATGGTGAGGCCCGCTACAATCGAACGTCGTTTTAATTTCTTTTTTTTAATCGTCGGCTTTTGTTTATTTTCCAGGAGTTTTGGAGAAGGAGCAAGCCCTGAGTTTCAGGCTTGCTACAATCGAGCGCCCGTTGTTGTCCCGCCAACGTGTTGAAAGGGGGTAAGCGCGGAGTTTTGCTGCAAAGAAAAAATGAGAAACTGTTGGAAGAAAACAACAGCCCGAACTGGAGACTGCAAAATCTTGAAGAAAAACTCGAACAAAAAATGTGGATTGGGTGATTTTAGATGGCTCGAGGACCTGCGAGTCTCTTGAAACCACGAACCCTGTGGAATCCACAGGAATATCATAAGGTAAGCCGATCCGTCTACCACTTGAACGTTGAGAGCGTGCTCCCGCGACCGTAGCCGTTTGTGGCACTAGCGTGCCTCGTGGACGTCGGGGGCTCTAAACCACTCGGCATGTTTGCAAGCACCAGACGGGCGGGATCACAGACGAAGAAGGACACTAATAGTTTTCTTTTTCTGTTTTTGTCCACCTTCCAACTGCAGTACATGAATGGCATGAAACTCGATTCTCCCCCCCCCCCCCCCCCCCCCCCCCCCCCCCCCCCCCCCCCCCCCCCCCCCC